ATTATCAAGCCATTTAAAGAAAATAGGTAGAATGTTTTTTTAACAATTTTTTGGGATTCCTGTGGGTCTATTAATATATTAAGGTTTTGCGCGTCTTTTGAGACACCGTGTATATTTTACAATTATTTTAAATTGTTATATTTTCTTCCGATAAATTTATTTAAAATAAACTTTTTTGAACCTAGGTCAACACTATTTCATTTGCTACAGGACAATAAATATATACTTTGTTATCTTGTTATTAATACATGTATTAGCCTTTAATCTCTTCTTACATGTGTGCCATACAATGCAGATTAATATTATTAATTTAATATTTATAGTCCGATGAATTTATTTATATCGTTAAACAATTTTGTACAATTGCATAAATAATTGGATTACGCAGATTGATTGGTTTTATTGCGTTTAATTTATGTACCTATGCGCAATGTTTGTTTAAACGAAAATTTTGCGATCCAATAGATAATTTTAATTCAGTTTAAACAATTGATTTCTAATATAATTAAATTTTCTAGTATTGTCTGTCGTCTGCGAGTCCTTAAAATTAATCAAAAAAATACAGACGAGAACTTTAATTAAACTTTGCTCGATGTGTGTCAGTTGAACGGCGGAATAGATTTCAGCAATTCTAATTTTCCTGGTTCGACTGCACCAGACTGTTCTAACTAATCCGTTTTTCTTCTTGGTGTTGTTCTAAATGAAAAACTTATTTCAAATACAAGAGGATTTAGATTTTCTAAGGGAAAAATTAAAATTACGTTTTCAGTGTTTAAATATAAATAATTTGGTCTATTTTCGGTGTTTAATTTAAAGTGCACTTCGGTATTATGTACTTTAAATATTAGTAATTATTATTAGTAAATTGAATATTTGGATGGTTATAAATATATTTGACTGACACATATTTTAATTTATTCACGATAAATGAAATATACTAACTCGACAGCAAAATTTGACATTTTTATTTTAAATATTAAATAGATAGACATGTCACTGTTGTGGTCAGTTTACTATTGTAGATTTGAGTCCGTTAATCTGTTGAACAAAAATACTTGTTCTACTCCCATTACGGAATACGACCGTTGTAATATCACTTTTTAATTTGGAATTACATATATTCCTTAAATTGTTACAGAATGATTTCATTTTATCACCGCATCACTTTCTCCCAATTAAATTATTTGTCCATGGTATTTTTTGGAAACATAGAAGAAGTAAATCGAATTGCATATTCAATGGCGCTTTGTGAATTAATTTACTTTAAAGTTTTCTGGTTAATTGTTTACCCCCTATTATTAGACTTTTTTATTCGGCACATTTTATACAATAATCCTTTACAGGGACCCCTCACAACAAATGTAGGCGTTATAAGGAATTTTCAATTGCTATTTGTAGTCGGACGACAAAGGCAATAGTCACCTGTCCTTGAAAATAATGTTATTATCTTCGTTATCAAAATTGATGCAGAGCTCAGACATACGATACCTCGAAGACCATGGTCATGCCTATTGCAATAGGCACGTATGGTCGTCGTTATTGCGTAGAAAATGGGAAGTGAGTGCAAGGATGGGGTCTATATATTTATTTTAATTTCAAAGATAACTTACCTTCTTGCCCTATTGGCATTCCGTCCGCCATTCTCCTAAGAGCATGTCTTATGAGAATGGCGAATAACTCTTCGCACATATATTGCCTACGTTAAGATATGTCGTTCACTCGTTCAACATCTACAGATGTTCCTTGCGGTTATAAACTCAGCAACCTTTGATTTAACCAGGATTATTGACAGCCCGTGACTAAAACGCCATAAAGTCACAGCTCGTCAATGTAGGAGTAGATAAAATTCATTAAATTTCCTAACCAAATATAATTATATTAATATAATTGAAATTAAAGCAGCACTCGTGAAATCTGCAGCTCGGTTTCCATTCGACTATTTCCCTCGTCTTAATTTCCACCAATCAAAAACGCGCAATTTTGAATTACAAATGGTTTCTAGGTGAAAAAACTGTGTGACAGCACCTGTGAGCAGTTTTTTCGAGTTTACCCGCGGCAAAACTTGACAGCTGTTGTCACCAAAAATTGCAATTTATATTTTAATTGTTAACTGTTACTCATGAAATACCATGAATGCATTCGGGCATCTTATTTTTCCTGTGAAAAAAATCGAAAAAACACAATGCTAAGTAATATTTTTAACAAAATGCATTCGTGCAGGTGCAAAAATCCTCCTATTCGACTCGGATTTTTGTTGCCACCAGCACTCATGCTTCATGTTAAAATATTACTTAGCAACGTGTTTTTTCGATTTTTTTCACAGGAAAAATAAGATGCCCGAATGCATTCATGGTATTTCATGAGTAACAGTTAACAATTAAAATATAAATTGCAATTTTTGGTGACAACAGCTGTCAAGTTTTGCCGCGGGTAAACTCGAAAAAACTGCTCACAGGTGCTGTCACACAGTTTTTTCACCTAGAAACCATTTGTAATTCAAAATTGCGCGTTTTTGATTCGGAAAAATTAAATGCCCTTAAGATATTACTTACGAAAATATCATCGATAATAATCATACCACTTGTTACATTATGGGTGAAAATATTTATATCACCAAGACAATTTTTTATACTCGGAATCAAATCTGAAGTCTGATAGAGATAAGGTGCATGAGAAAGAATTTCCAATCGTAATTTTCCGCGGAAACGCGTTGCAATTGCCGATGAGTTAGCCGGGCATGAACAAACCTTTTTTTCTAGCCAAATGTGGTCGGTTTTCTTTTATTTTTTAATTTTGACATGTCAATATAAAAGTGTTTTTCCTGCTATTTAAACACTTTTATATTGTGTTGTCAATATAAAAGTGTTTAAATAGCACAACATTATTTTTTATTTATATTCACAAAAGAAACGATCCCCGTTTATTGTTTATAACTTCAAATTCAAACGACGCAATATATTTAAACAAACTTTGACATCTGTTATGTATTTTTATTACGATCTTCATCTTCAGAAGAATACGAGAAAAATGAAAAATAGCAATGATAAATCCTACAACTATCATAGTTTGTATTTATAGATACATTAATGGTAATTTAATATTATGCCTAATAAGTAATACATGTATAAAATTATCATCGTTTCCAATAAAAATAAATTAGAAAGTAAGTTTAAAGTGTTTATGTCTCAATTATTAATTTAGTTTTTTTCAGATGTCAGTAGGTAGAAAATTTGATGGCATATCAAATCTTAATATTTATTTCTGAATACGACCATAATACATCAACCTTTAAAGCAGAATTCAAAATGTTAAAAGTTAATTAGTTACCTAGTCTGTTAATTACATTCGCCATATTGAAATAATATTGACGTCAAGGAGTTTGTGAAGAAATAGGTAATCCACCTTCTTGGGGCTACCTCCATATTGGATTTATTATCACTCACCTTATCTTTTCTACTCGTCAAACCCTTTCATTTGGTGGTTAATAAAAAAAATAGGTAATCCGCCCTATTGGGGTGGCCGCTATATTGGATTTAAAATGACTTCTCAACCGTTATTGTCATCCAGTTCTAAGCTATGTTTAAAGTTTTAAGCTCATAGTAAAGTTAGTTTAAAATCGATTGCAATTTTTTTTCCGAACAGACAGGCAGACACACAAGACTGTTAATAAAACCTTTTTACAAAAGATCTCGTATAATAAATTTAATTTTAACCAGACATTGTATCCATTGGGGCAATTAAGTTTCCACTTTTCCTTGGCTTTTACCTTAGTAATGATAAAACAGTCGTCGTAAAGTGGGCGAAAAAGGTGTGCTACATGAAAATCGGACCACTGAAAAAAAAGGGAAAATCTTTATAACATGCTTTTATCGCAACGGGTCCAAGGTACCTGGGTTACTTGCCTCTTAAATATTAACCGTTTCACGCTTAAATATATAAAATCTGTTTTTTGTGTCCATGTTTATAGTCAACACCGAACATTAACTTTTACGAACGTTGCTTTGAAATTGCCAACTCAGTTGAATAATTTTATTTTTATATAATCTTGTTTTTATCGTTTTGTTCTTTTTCTATAAAAACAACGGTTTAAATCGATTTGGGTGGTTATACTTTTCACGGTTTAAGTATCGTTTCACAAGGAGCGTATGATCAGCGCTGATCGTAGGACGTAGTCAGGATGTAGTTAAATAAGTAATTTCACACGAATCGCGTATGATCAGTAGAGATGAGATTTTAGGTTGGAAAATTTTGAAAAAAGGTACATAAATAGGGAAGGTTTTTTCTTGTTTAAGGTGGGAAAACTCTTAAATTAGGTACGTACTTAAAAAAATAGGTTTTCAAAAGCAAATTTTAGGTAAAAAAATTAAATTATTATTGTATAAAGTTTTATTTCAAACATTACACTTAATGTTAATTTGTTACACTCTTAAAAATAATATAATATAATATACATATATATAGGTACTACATACAATTATTTATTTGTTTTATTCTTATGACTGTAACAAACTAATATTTTTTCTATATTTTCTGGATTTAAATTATGTCGCTTGTCTGTTAGTATATTTTTGTAAAGGGAAAATGAACGCTCCACATCACAAGATGTTACCGGGGCATATTTAAAGTGGTTAGCATATTGCATTGTTAAATTTTGGGGCAAGTCTACATCCTCTCCAATATACATCCTGCTTAAAGTGTGCAATGTTTTGAAGCCAGGATTTTTGTTTAATACTTGAGTCAATTTGTTTTGTACAATAGTTGTCACCCTTCCATTACATGTATTAATATGTTCTTGCAGTATATTAAACAACTTCATGGCGTCCTTTAGTGGGGTTCCCACAGACTCTAGCTTTGTGATTGTTTTACCTATTATTTTAAAATTATTGGAAATATAAATTAATTCCCTATTAATTGTGTTGTTTAACAATAATTCTTGAGCTTTTTTAATGCTTACAGCATCTTCAGCCTGAAAATCCATTACTACCTACAAGTAACAATGTTTACAATTTACCAAGGGAGTCATTAATAAAACATGCAACTTTTGCATGGTTAGTTTTTTCAAGTACTCTGCAGGTGAGAAGATATGGAACACTAGGACCTTCATCTGACAACTTACTGACAATTAAGTTTGCAATGTACCTTCCCTTAACATCAGTTGTTTCATCAACACATATTGAAATGTCACTATCTTCAATATCATGCCGAATATCTTCAATTGTCTACAATGATTTTAATTTATATAAACCAAAACATAATTTTAATATAGTTGCACTTACTTTCTTATAGCATTTTGGTTATTGGATTTCGATGCGGAATTTTTTTGTTAGTGTATTTTTTCAAGAAATTTCTAAATTCAGGGTAATCCACTTTGGCCCAAGGTATATTAGCGGCTATAAATGCATACGAATTCATTTTTTTCAGATTGCCGCTCACATTCTTTAATTTGAAGCTGCGTACTGGATTTTTCCTCCAACAGCTTTCTATGTTTTTTGCTTATTTCGTGTTGTAAAATATGAGAACCTTGATCACAAATGATCTAAAATATAATGAAAATAATTGATATTTTAAATGATAGGTATACAAATGGGAATCATAAATATAACTTCAAATAATAATTACGACTTTAGAACAAACTCTGCAGAAAACATTGTTGTCATGTACCTTAAACACGCTTTCTTTATCTGTGAGCCACTTTTTCAGAAGCTCAGGTTTCTGTTTTGTTTTAGCCATAGTATTTATGTACTTTTCTCTATCCAATAACAATCCTCCGTGTAACAATCAAACTTAAATATCACCACAGAAATCATACAAAAAGAAATATCACATTGCGTCGCTGTTCACGAGTACCAACCACTAGCAACTGTTTCAGGGTATACTAACAAATATATGGTCTTTAACAGCATATTTTTTATTTAGTTAAAAAAAATCCCCTAAAGTTATTTTCCGAACGTTTTTTTAGTATTAAATAAAAGGGCTTTAAAAATCACGTAAACTAAGAAATAAGTTGAAGTATTTTTATACAAAATTTCATAAAGATTGGTAAAGGCGTTTTAGAGTTTTTTTTACTTATTATGCCTTAATTTTGACGCGCAGGTATTAGTAATTATATATTACATATATACAGGGTGGTCCAGGATTAATCTGAAAAATTTTAATGATCGATAGAGCCTGAAAAAACAATAAAACCAAACCCAAAAACATTTTTTAAAAATACACACTAACATACTAATAGCCCTTCAAAGGCAAAAAAAAGTTTTTTTTTTAAATAACTTCTGCTCAAATTTTGTGTACCTAGGTAAAATTTCTTACAAAAGGCCCAGCGGCGGATATTTTGTGGGGGTTTCCCCTTTTTACCCCCATATTTCGACACCACTGGATTTTATTGGAAAATCATCAGATTTCTTATTCAATTTAGAAGCAAAACTTGTGTGTTAAATTTTCATAAGATCAGTGGTTTCGGAGACTTTAAAATTTTATTTAAATCGGTAACTTAGTAACAATTATGCCACGTTATCAGTTTATAAAATATTATAAAAATAAACTAGCGTCCAGGAGTCATCGTGCAGTTGTTACTGATCCCGTCATATTTTTAGGTTGTTTTATTGTAACGTTGATTGAGGATTACAATCAACGTCTGTAATTAATAATTTAATTGTATTATAATACAAAATCAAACCAACCCAAAAACCACCCTATTGAAAGTGATTATTCCATAATTTCATTGGTAAATTTTTATTGGCCCAATACAATCGTTCAGAAAAAAAATAATTTTTTATTACTAAAATAATAACAAAAGTTCCGTGTACACAGTGTTTTTGAAATTTTAAACTGAAATATCTCCGTTGATCTGATAAAAAATAAACATAAAAATTTTGCTTTTAGTTTGAAAAAGGATAAAAATAAATCTGATGATTTTCTAATAAAATCCAGTGGCGTCGAAAATATGAGGGTAAAAAGGGGAAACCCCTCCCAAAATCTCCGCCACTGGGCCTTTTGTAGAAAATTTTCAATATATTATCGACGGAAGCTTAACCTACACAAAATTTGAGAAGAATCGGTTTAATGGTTTAAAAATTATTTTGAAGGACTATAATATAAATATAGATATTATCTCCGTTAGTATGCATTTTTGAAAAATGTTTTTGGGTTTGTTTTTATTGTTTTTTCAGGCTCTATCGATCATTAAAATTTTTCAGATTAATCCTGGACCACCCTGTATCTATATCTATATTATATATTATATTAAACTATATCATGGAATATCATGATATGCATGATTATGATTATGCATGATTATGCATAACTGGATCAGATCCATCTGATATTCCATGCTATGTCTTAAATCTTGAGTATGGTATGAATAGCTTACTAACAAGAAGAAAATATTACTGCTCTGTTTTTATTTATAAAATACTTAATTACCTTTTAGATAGTCCTGATATTTTAAAACTTATTAATATAAAAGTACCTGATACAAGATTAAGAAATAATCAAATTTTAAGCTACTCATGTCAGTCAAATGTTGTAGTATTATAAACCAAATAAACTGTGATATTTTCATTAATAATTTATATAAATTTAAATTAAATTTGAAAGAATTGTTGTTTAGTATTTAATATTAATGGCATTATGCGTATTTTGTACACTGAGTTGGATATGGCGAAAGAAATATTAATTTGGGTCTAAGAACTGGTTAAGTTGAATTAAAGAAGCTCATAACGTATTAGCAAATGTAGATATATTAACTGTTAATATATCGAAATTCCATTTTGTAAAAAACTACGGCAACGTCACATGCTTGCGCATATTGCATTTAAAATTATGTTGACAAATGTTAAAACGTTTTATTCGAATTTAGGTATATTAAGTTAATATTATATTAGGATAGTACACAGAGAAAAGGAAATAATAATATTAACTGTTACAAGGTAATAGTTACCCTTTAGTGGATTCGTATTCTGCCAAACTTATATGAACTAACTGTTATAATACTACAAGGTATAAAGAAGTACTTAATCTTACCTTTCATTTATTAATAGAAAGGTTTTGAAATATTAATAGTTAAATCACTTTAATAACTATTAAATTTACCTGATTATTTTAAATATTGTATTTACTAACTGTTATATTATTTGGTTTTCTATTAGTATTTTATTATAATAATCACATTTTCTGAGTTATCAGTTATTTTTCCATCAGCTAATAGTTAATCTATGAAAGTAAGTATTATGTTAGCATATGATTAAGCAAACAGCATGGTTCACATGCTTAAAAAAATAAATACGAAACAAATAATACTTATGTACATCCACCAGCATTAAAACAATTTATATAATAATAATTATTAATACACTGAAAGAAATATATACTAAAGTTAAATAAAAAAATAATTAGGGCAAATATATTTTATGTTTCATATATGGACTACCACATACATTGCTAAAACAAATATATTTGTTTGGTTAGCAGCCTATTGCTGCCCTAGCAATATAAATGTGTTAAATTTTACCAAATTTTACATATTTTCTTTAAGCATAAATGTGTTAAAACTGACCAAACAGTTCTGGAACTTCTGGGTTGGCGTGGATTTATTATGTAAATTCTAAACAATAATATACTAAATCTTAGCATATCATATTGTCGCCTCACCGAATCAGCATAAAATATTTTAAAGATTGATACAATTTATGTTTGTAACTTTTAAGAAAAATGCCATGGTGTTTCTAGCAATATTTTTTTGCTGTAATTCACTTATAGTTTACATTTTATAGTAAGGGTAAGTTTATTTTTATTTAGATCTAACATATCTTCTTTACAATAAATGTATTACAAAATTTAACATACATTCATAATAAACAGTAGTATAAATGTGTAAAGCACTAGTATAAAATTTTTAGTATAAATTTGTATTTACTTTTATCAACAAATTTCTTTCAGTGTACTAATATAAACTATTACCTAATTGTTTAGAAAACAACAACAAAAAACCTCATGGTTCAAACGCTTGTTACTTCTATCATGGTGGCAAAAACACGATTTCGGCGTATTAATTATGGCATATCTCTTATATACCACATTTTTTGTAAAAGCAAAAGTAGATATTTATAATAAGTAAGTACAAACCCCAAAGTTCTAATAATTCTTTCGTGTTCTGGTCTCTGTCATTGTATCAACCTCACCGCATGAGTATCCTCACTGACTGAGCGTACATCATGCTTATCAGCTGTTAATAACTCATTCGCTAATAGTTACCTTTTTACTTTTCGCACAATTCGGTTATAATGATAGTTATAATTTATCTTCTAAAAGTTAATTTTTGATTAATATTATAAAGAATATTATATTTTGCAATAACATTCAAATGCTGATAATTATTGCAACTTATACTTGATATCAGCATACCAAGTTATAAGTTTATTTATCATAAAATAACAGTTACCCATTTATATTATAATTTCTGATATGGTCCTAAATACTTGGAACAAACTGACTTTATTAACAACAAACCTACATCCACTAACATTAAATCAATAGCCTTTAACTTATCCCAGGTTACTATTAAGAAAACCACATTCTATTATTTAGAATACAATTTTTAAAATAATTTTAGTAATATTATTAGTATATTGCTATACTGTATGTTAGCATATGGGGCAAAATTTGCCAAGTGTACCAGGTGAAAAAAATTGTGTCACCGATTTTGTTTAAACTTTACTTATTTGTTGTTCTTATAACGAAGAATCATAGCATAAAATTTTTTTGCTCTAGGATTGTTTATTCAAGAGTTATGGATTATTGAAATTTATCGATTTATTACTTTTTGGTGAAATCGCTTTTTATTTAAAAATTCATAACTTCTGTTCATCTCTTTATTAAATATTTTAATTTAATCACCTTAAATGATTTTTTCCGTACTTTTCAATGGTCTATACCGTTTTTGCAACAAAAAAAAAATTGCAATTTTTTTTTGAAATTTTGCAATATATTGCATTTTTTTAACCAATGTGTATTTTTTAATTTTTTTTAAAATAGCATAAAATCGAAGTTTATTATGTTCCCTTTGAATAAAAAAAAAATTTAGAGTGGGCCCGACATGTAGAAGGGAACTTTTTCATATTTGAATGCGTGCGGGTCTAGCCATCGAATAGCTACTACACTGCCGTATGCGTTTATACCTACTCTCTAAAAGTGAAACAGTGAAATTTTCACTATTTCCGTCAGTGAATTATTATTCACTGTAAAATTAGTGTTTTTCAATATAAATTAGTGAAATTTTAACTTCTCCAAATTAGTGTTTTTTATTATCACTACTTTTTCGGAACTCTCGACATAAAATAGTGAAATTTTAACTTTTTTGAACTAAACCTATTTCACTAATTTGTACAGTGTAATTTCCACTAAATAAATTAGTGCAAAGAAATCGCTACATGAAAAAGTGAGTATTCACTAATTGCTAGTGGTATACTTATCACTGCGGCAAATAGTTAATATGCACTGTCAATCAGTGAAAATCCACTGTTTCATTTTTAGAGAGTAGTAGATGCGAGTAAACGAATACAAAATGATAATTTAAAATGTAAAATTAGTATGGTAGGGCACCAACACTTTATTCTTTCTGTATTTTACTTTAGCCACAAAAATAAAAATTAACATTATTCTAGTAATATCCGCCAAAAATCCTCCGAATTACGAAATCTACAAATCATATTTTAATCTGTAATTAATTAAAT